ATGATTGACAGGTTATACACTAATATTATAGACAGGTTATACTCTAGTATTATTTACAGGTTATACTCTAGTATTATTGACAGGTTATACTCTAGTATTATTGACAGGTTATACTCTAGTATTATTGATATGTTATACTCTGGTTTTATTGACAGGTTATACTCTAATATTATGAACAGTTTATATTTTGGTATTACTGACAGATTATACACTGGTATGATTGACAGGTTATACACTAATATTATAGACAGGTTATACTCTAGTATTATTGACAGGTTATACTCTAGTATTATTGACAGGTTATACTCTAGTATTATTGATATGTTATACTCTGGTTTTATTGATATGTTATACTCTGGGTTATTGACAGGTTATACTCTGGTTTTATTGACATGTTATACTCTGGTTTTATTGACAAATTATACTCTGGTTTTATTGACAAATTATACTCTGGTTTTATTGACAAATTATACTCTGGTTTTATTGACAAATTATACTCTGGTTTTATTGACAAATTATACTCTGGTTTCATTGACAGGTTATACTCTAGTATTATTGACAGGTTATACTCTAGTATTATTGACAGGTTATACTCTAGTATTATTTACAGGTTATACTCTAGTATTATTTACAGGTTATACTCTAGTATTATTTACAGGTTATACTCTAGTATTATTTACAGGTTATACTCTGGTTTTATTGACAAATTATACTCTGGTTTTATTGACAAATTATACTCTGGTTTTATTGACAAATTATACTCTAATATTATTGACAGGTTATACTCTAATATTATTGCTTCAGCTTCCTTATATTGAGATAAGACAAATGATTCATTATCCATGATGTGCTAGTGTTGTTAATAGTGCATAAAAACACTCTCTAGTCACTTTTCAAAGTATTAAGGTTGCAAAAACTATATTGTGAAAGATATTTCTAATTAGTGAGGCAATGTTTATGTTTTAAAAACTCATCTACATCTTAGCCAATGATTCAGTAAAGTTCACAAACCATTTCAAAATCCCAGTTCCCTGAGTTCTCCAGGTTTCCAAAACCATATTTACTAAAACAAAAATAATTCACAACAAACTAATCATAACTTTATTTGCATCTCATATTTTTAAGAACTCATGAAAATATATTAGTTAGATAATTCATACCAAATGATGTACATTTCTTTTTGATCGCTTTATTTTTCTGTGTGAAATCTGTTGGCAACAATCCTATTCGTGAAAATAAATATTTGCTGTGTATACACTAATTACCTTAATTTTCTGTTGTTGAAGAATCTGATCATCTTGAATGACATGACCCGATGTGATTAATTTCAAACAAGATGAAGAGACTTGAAGAGATTGTCCAATTTTATCTTTTAGACTTTGTCCTTTTTCACAGAGTCCAATCTCTACCGTAGTGCAAGGACTTTCACAATCCTTACTTGCTCTCTATAAATGAAAGGATAATAATAATAAATTAAAAAAATTTTGCAAACCTAAGAAAAAACAGGTGGAAAACTGTGTGTAATAAATTCATAGCTGTATATATTGCACGGTTCATTTTTAAGTTGTAATATTGTATTATTTCTTGTGTAATCCTTTGGTTATGATGGCACACAAATGTTATAGAATGAAAAAGAAGAGTCTGGAAATGGTAACCCTTGAAGAAGCATCTTGAAGTAAGATTCTTTGAACATTGAAATTTTATAAGCTTACTTTGAGCAATTCTTCTGAACTTAAAGAATAAAACTAGAAATAGTTTAGTCTTAAAATAAACATTACAAGCATTTTAAACCTACCCTCTGATCATTTTCACCAATGACTTTCACTCTCAAACTTGCCAATCCAGTCTGCTGAAATTTGTTACGGGCAGCTAACTTATCTAAAGCATGACACCGGAGTCTTTCCAAAACTGACGGAACCAGCTCTGGAGGAATACCACATTCTTGACTCAAATTGCTCACTAAACCCTGAAACAAATATTACATGACAATAGTTTTATCAATTTGTAAAAGTGAAAAACTTGCGAGTTCCAATCAGTTACACGTTAGTTATACAGACTAAAACTGAATGTCAACAGGTGTTTCATACTGAGCCTTTCCAATTTTCTGTACCTCAAGTGCCTAACCTTACACTTCCTAACATTGACATTTATTAGATCTCTTAGGTTATTCAAAATTCTACTGAATACCATAACATGCAACTTTTTTTTATGAGATGTACACAAGATAAAACTAAACAAAAACAAGTTAGCATATCATAAAGTTCTCCAAACTATGTAAACATTTCATATGACAGTTAAGGTGGACAGTGGATAAAAAGTCAATATGATAGTCAAGATGGAGAGTGGTTGGAAAGTTAATATGACAGTGGTTAGAAATTTAATGCAACAGTTATGATGGACAGTGGATGTAAAGTCAATATGCCAGTCAAGATGGACAGTAGTTGGAAGGTTAATATGACAGCTGAGATGGACTGTGGTTGAAAGTTAATATGACAGTCAAGATGGACTGTAGTTGAAAGTCAATATGACTCTTGAGATAGACTGTGGTTGTAAAGTTAATATTATAGTTGAGATGGGCATTGGTTGAAAAGTTACCTAGATATTTGTTGGTATATGACTTGTAAAGTAAATGGGCAACACTTTCTACTTTAAAGTCTTGGTCATTGAAAATGCTATCATTATTTTTGTTACATCAATGTTTTCTCAGCATTAACTTTACTGACCTCTGGATAGTTTCCAAATTTTGAGTCTTCTGTTGTGTATGGAGGAAGCCACAGCTTAATTTTCTCTTTGTTCAGCTTTTCTCTTATTTTGTCAGTCCATTTATTCTCTGCACTGTCCATGGTTTACTTAATAGGGGGAAAAAAAAGTAGTCAATCATAATATATGGACGACAAAGGACCATTTGGTCCTTCAATACTATCCCTTCACATCCACACTTCAGAAAGAGAAAAAACTTAAACCCATCCTTTACTGTTCAGGAAATTATCAATTATCCTTTTAGACTATTGTACAGAACTGGCTTCCACCAACACTGATGGCCACTCATCCCATAAACTGTTGGGAAAATAAAACTATCTTAATCCGACTTTTCCTACTCATAAACTTCTGTCCTCTCATCCTATTACACTAAGAATATAGCACAAAAAATCCATTAGCCTTCATCATATTGATCCTTCGAATTAATTTTATAAACTTAAAAAGATCACTTTTTTTTCTCAAGAGAAAACAAGAAATCTTTATATCAAATATTATTTCTTCAACCCTAACTGATGTGATTTTTTTTTTGCTAATCTTTTTTTGGAACTTTATAAAAAGCTTTTTAAGTACACCAAGTCTACACCTTTTCCTTTTTACAAATAACAAGTAATATCCTAGACAAAAGGTAATGGATTAGTAGTAATGCAAGATTTCCCTTCAGTGAATCTATGTTGGCTTTCATTTAAGGTATCATATTTTGATAAATGATTTTGCTGAGGTTCTTTTATCAGAATCTCTAGAATTTTTCTAACTACAGAAGTCAGACTAAGTAGTTTATAATTGCTAGGGCAACTCAATCACTCCTTCTAAAAACAGAACTCTCCAATTCTCAAGCACTTGCTCCCTCTCTGTTGACCTTCCAAAAATGAAAGATAGATGCATATCAAATCTTTCTCTTCCTTTAAAACTCTAGGATTCAGGACAGTTGCAATATTTCCCACAGAATAATCAAGGTCAGGTATATCGCTAATAAAGTACTATATTCTCTTATAAAAACAAAAGACAACACTTGAGATTTGAATTAAAAGATCAGCCATCTCATAATTACGTTAGATTTAAAGGTTAGACTATATTAAATTATAAGAAAAAATGTTGATTTCATGCATTTACTTTAGACTTTACTCTTTAGTCAATTAGTGACTTACAAATGACAGGTTGACGTTCTTCGCTTTCTTCTTGACGTATTAATAGTAATACTATATATAATTTAGCAAAACTCGTTCCAATTTCTAGGCATTATTAGCAATTACTGATAGTGATACTACAACTGGTAGTGGTAGCAGCAGAAGTCGACTAACATTAGCCTCACCACTCTACTAAGTGTCTTAGTTTCACTCTCACTCTTAGTAACTCGGCGAAAATTCATATACTAATACTATATGGATAAAAATAAACACAGATAATATATTGTTCATAATAACAAATCAGAACGTATATTTATATAAGCAATTTAAAAAGTTCAGTTGCTCTATTCAAAATAAAAAGAATATTATTTCTCATATATTTTCAAAAAAGATCATACTGTTTCCGTATTAACAACATACATACACCTTTTCTCTACATTTAGGCTTAGGCCAATGTCTGCAACAATATCAAGTTTCAACACATTTTCACTATCCTAGCGGAATGTACACGAGTTAACAAATAATAATAATAATAATAATTCAAAAACAACAAATAGGCCTAAAATATCCATGGGGGTTTTGGGTCCTTTTTAATTCACCATACAACAACTTAATTTAATTTAGACACTTGAATAATTTTATGATATTTCGCTGAATTCATTATTCTATATTATATAGTGGACCAACTGTTTAATGATTTAGTGAAAGAATCAAATAGTTAGCCCGCTTAATGATATCGAATAATGAATTAAGCGAAATTTCATAACAATATTCACATACGTAAATTAATTTAGGTTACTGTATGGTGAAGTAACTACGACTCAAACTCTATAAATATTATATACACTTCATCATTATACAAGACTTAACTTTATGTCTTTGGTTTACTGATCCAATTTATTTTTTATTAAATCTAACAGGAATTTAATTTGAAGGAAGAGAGCGCAATAAGGAAAAGTGTGGGCTCTTCCCAAATGGGGAGGAAGTGTGTGTGTGTGGGCGGGAGTATTGGCCGTGATCGTTTAGTCACTTTAGTGATTAGGACATTGAGTTGCTGACCCAAGAACAGAGGAAACAGAAAAATCATAGTAGTTGTTTCGATTTAAGATCTCCTGGAACGCTTAGAAACGAGTGTTTTTCTTCGCCTCGCTCGTGATGGGAGTGACGGGCTGTACACGGAAAATTGTGAGCTTTGGTCAACCTTGGAATATTCTCTTCCTTTTCTTCTAACCAATGGTCATTATCGGACTTATGATCCTTAAGGGCGGCGGGGTTTTATAAATCCAATGCCTAGAGACCTTGTTTATGAGTTGAAATGGGAGTTTCCCTAGAAAACCCACTTTCAATGATCAGGCGCCGAATAATCTACTTGACCAGTGCCCGGTTAAATCCGGATGGTGTTGAGGCAAAATGATGAAGAAGGAAAGAGTGATAGGTGCAATAGTTAACTAGTGTAACAGGGATTTATTCTCAGTGAAGAGACGGCTGAAGGAAAATCTATCACGAGGTGAGTCTTCATCCTCACTGTTGGAGGGGCGATGGAAGGAAGAGAAATTGGAAAACTGCAGTCCACAGCGGAGTATACAGCCAATCAAGGAATGCATTAGGCCTCTACGTCATTCTACTTTCAATTTCACCTTTCGTGAAAAAGAAAAGAAATATTTAATATAAAGTAGGCCTAAACTATGAAAGGCGAAACTACACATTACTAACAACAATTCTACAAAATTTATTAGAAGAAATTTCAGGAGAAACAGTGGATACTTGTTCCCCGGTATGTATCAACGGTAAACTTACGGATTTGTTGTGCGAAGATCCGAAATTCGATTCTTAATGTCGGACAGAGCGCAGATGGTCCAATGGTAGCTTTGCGCTAAAACAACAACGGAAACAGTGGATATTTTTGATAAAGTGCCTCACCAAAGAAAAATGTGTAAATTCAAGCCTTTTTGTCCGGGTTAAGTTGGATTAATAATTATCCTTTTTTTTTTCTTTAGAGATGTAGTATATTTAGATCGAACTGAATTAACTTCAGAGCATTGAAACAGACCCACAGAAAGACAGAAACATATTTATTGCGAAATAGTACTGAGTAATGTAAAAAATGGGCAACTTTTATTCAAATCACGAATAAAGTTAAACACGGGATGATCGCTTCTACTGGATGTTATGTGGTATATTAAGATATAATTGAGCTAATCTTAAAGTAATGGAACGGGTCCACTTAATAACAGGAGGTACAACAAGCTATTTAATAAAAAGCTCTTTTGAGTTCTTTGATTTTTAGTTTAATAAGATAAAACGATAATGGGTACAAATGTACAAAGCCACAATGAATCAGTCTTTGTTTATATTTATAAATACAATTAAAACAATACATGCATATGTCGAAGGACAGCGTCTTTATTAATAGTTAACTTATAATACATTAATATAATATTTATTTTGAACTCATTTTATCTTCCGAGTATATTTAGGTTTCACATAACAAGTGGTCAAGAAAACTGTCAAGTTACCTTTGTTTCCTTGTTGCTTTCGAAAGTAGTTAATACTTGCTACCATCAGGAGAGAAATTTACTTAATACAACGTGTTGTATACGAATTCCGAAAGCAGCGGTTGTTGAGGTGTTCATGGCGATGTCTAGAGGTTATGGCCCCTAGCAATGTTGTAATGAAAATGACCAGTCACGTGAGTAAGTGTGAGGTTTCTTGAGAACTAAAGAATTTTGCAATTAAAGTTTGGTTTATGCTAAAAAAATTCACGTGAAGCCCAATATATAATTCGGTTTACCACTTGTCATTTAGATAATACTTGAGAATTACACCCCTCATTAAAATCTTTGGACAAAAGCAAATCAAAAGCATAAGACTAGGCTTCATATATGTGGTGGAGTGTATATTATATGTATGGGGTTTGAAGTTTCCTTTAATCACACAGCAATCCCGTGTTTATATAGGCATTTCGAGAATATGCAGCATTGATGCTACTAATTTATTCCTGTGAATTAGTTTGGTATATGGTTTTAACTTGAACAGTTGGAAGAGAAGAATCCAGTAAAAACAATTGCTCAGGGAAATTATAACTGTAAGTATGCACACTGCCGTTCTTAATTTAGCAGTTTAAGACTAGAGGGAAGGCAGCTAGTCATCACCACCCACCGCGAACTCTTGGGCTACTCTTTTACCAATGAATAGTGGGATTGACAGTCACTTTATACCGCGAGCATGTTTAGTGGGACGGGAATTCGAATCCGCGACCCTCAGATTACGAGTCTAGCGCCCTAACCACCTGGCCATGCCAGGCCCGTTTAATACCACATTTAGTATTTATAATTTTATATACTTAATATTGTTTTTCATTAAGTATAATGCATACCTTTAGATTTTTTTAGTATGCTTTTTCTATAATCACTACCTTTAGTATTATATTTAATTACATTGTATTATTAGATTTTTAACATAAATTAATAAAAAATATACATAAATAAATTTTTATTTTTATAAACATTACAAGTTTATCAGAGGCTGTTTAATTTAATTTCAGTTTGGAATTTATTATTATATGGTGGAGGAACAAGGGTCTCTTACATGTTACAGTTCGGCCCTGGTTAAATGGTATAAGGTAGGGCCTCTACAGTTCATAGTTGGATGGAAGAATTATTTATGTTTGAAGAGTGGAAATAAACATAGCATTAAAGATGAGGTCAAATGACACAAATTTCAAAACTGTAATGTTGTCGAAAATAATTTTCCCCCTTTAGTTAATTAATATTATATTTGTTTGCTTTTTTTTAGGCTACATTAAAATGACTAAACCAAAGTGAGCCCAAGATGCTGGCAGGATATACCCGAGAGGAAATATAAAAAGAAAAATAAGCAAAGAAGGCTGCCGAAGAAAAGCAAAAAGATGCTCTAAATAAGTTTTTGAGAAGAACTAATTCAGAGTCATCTGATGAGGCCGACCAGGGAAATGTAAGTGTTGATAGAGAAGAAAATGTTTCGCCAGGACCTATGGAGCTGACAGAAAGCAACAGAGAAGCCCAAGAAACATTTGATGACATAGAAATACCTCAATCTGATGCAACTACCAGTCAGAGCAGAGAGACTACGAAACACAGTGATATCAAGGATCCAGAAGACATTCCAGAACAAGAATGTTTTGTTTGTTTGTTTGGTTTGAACATTTCGGTTGCAGGAGAAGATCCAAACAATGTAAGCCTTGAGGGTCAGCTAAACATAACAGATGAACCAACTACCTGACCGGAAAGAATTGACCAACGTGTGAGAAACTATTTAGTGAAAAATGTACCACCTAAAATTCTCTTGGAAGACTTTCCTCGGAACAAAAATGGAACACATTTCTCAAAAGTTTTCAAATGGTGAAATCACTTATCGTCCTTGGGTAAGATACTCTGTGTCAGCTGGCAGGATATTTTGTTTATATTGTTGCCTCTTTGGAAATGATGTGAAAAGTGTCTTGACTACTAAAGGATTCAACAGCTGGCCCAATGTCCATACTAGATTGGCAAGGCATGAAAAGTCAAAAGACTTTCTGCTGAAGAAACTATCAACAAGGTCCAACAGAAACTGATCAGTCAAGAAACAATGTGATGGCATCACGTTTTTGAAAGACTAGTTGCTGTAGTTCAGTTTTTATCAGACCATAATTTGGCATTTCATAGCTTTGTTGAACAGTTAGAAACGTCACACAATAGAACTTTCTTGGAATTATAGAATTGTTGGGAAAATTTGACCCAGTAATTCAAGAGCATCCAGTAAAGAAATTAATGATCACTACCTCGGCAAATATATTCAAAATGAGATCATCAGTATCATGGGAGATGCAGTTCAAAAGACAATCATTCATCGAATAAAAGCAGCAAAGTATTTTGCTGTAATTTTTGATTCACTCCAGATATCAGCCATCAAGAGCAAATATCCATGATAATTAGATGTGTGTCCGACGGAACATTACCTAATACACTAGCCGGTATATATAAACAGTTTATAAAGTTTTTAGATATGGAAAGCAGTACTGGAGAAAATTTGTACAATGTGCTTAAGCAGGAACTTGAAACATTAGGATTAGACACAGGTAATATCCGAGGTCAGGGCTATGACAATGGAGCTAACATGAGAAGAGAGGAATCAGGGGTTCAGGCTCGACTTTTACAAGAAAATCCAAGAGCATTTTTTACACCGTGTGCTTGTCACAATTACAATTTAGTCTGAGGAAATATGGCCAAAACCTGTCTTGATGCCATGACTTTTTTTGGAACACTTTAGCATCTTTGTGTGCTTTTTTGAACATCAACAAAGAGATGGGCAGTTTTTCGAAAGCATGTGATGGGTCTTTCCATAAAGCCTTTTTGTGAAACAAGGTGGGAGTGTCGAATTCAAAGTGTAAAGACTGTAAGGTATCAAGATAGTAATTTCTGTGATGCACTCATAGAAA